AAAAAAGAAAAATAAAACCCAAACAAAATAACGAGTTTTGAGCACAATGAGTTTTCAATCATAATATAATGAGTTTAAAAAATATTTTCAGTCATATTATAATGATTTTTCAATCAGAATACTAAACAGTAGAATGAATATCAAGTTTTGAGCATAAAACTTCAGTAGTTCAATCTGGAATGAGCCAACTAGATAAAAAAATATCAACACAATCTGAAATTAAAATTTTAATTTAGGAATAATTTACCGATGAATAGTGACGGAAATTGGGGAATTTAAATGACGTGTAGGTGCGGCAGTGCAGCAGACGGGCGGGCTGCGGCAAACCGATGGGTTGGGGCAGCCGGCAGAGCACGGTAGCCGATAAGCCGTAGGCTGTCAGCATCGTCGTCTTCTGGTTGGCTGGAGGCTGGTCTCTGTCTCGCTGAGTCGCTTGTGCAATGGCGTAGACCTGCAATCTCAGTGGATGCTGAAATGCTAAAGAATCGAACTGCAAAATATATTTTTATATATTATTTTTTATGCAATTGAAATTATATTATATATATGAAAACTTTTGGCCCCGCATGAATTGAAATGCTAGATCCGCCCCTACTTGTAGACCCTTTTCTCTCTTTATATGAGGTAATTCTCTTTTATTTTTCTTGTCCGTGTATTATACCAATAAAATGAGATGAGGGATTTCTCTCATTATCTCGTCACATGCAACTTGAGGTCTCATCCAAGTAGTCATTTTGAAATTTTAAGGATCTTTTGTGTAGAAGAATGAGACAATTAGACAAAGGGTGGGAGTAGCACCTATTGAAGATAAGATGCGAGAGTCACGCCTACGGTGGTTTGGTCATGTGCATAGAAGACCGAGTGATGCACCTGTCAGACGAGTTGAGATGTGTGGAGAAGAGGTAGGGAAGAGAGGGAGAGGAAGGCACAAACAGACGTGGGTTAGGGGAGTCAGAAGTGATATGCTTCTTCTTGGATTGGATGAGAGTATGACTTTGGAGAGAGCAAAATGGAGGACGGGTATTCGTGTGGAAGAGTGATCTTGTATCATCTTTTCTCCTCTTTATATATATATATATATATTTATTTATTTATTTATTTATTTATTTATTTATTTATTTATTTATTTATCCTTATATATAAATATTACTTTATCCTTTTTATTTGATCTTTTATATGTATATTCATCTCTTTTATATTATCTTTTTTATAATAGCTTATCTTTTTTATCTTTATTTTCGTCCTTTTCCTTTTGGTGATATCATATATCGATTCATGTTAGCCGACCCCAATATCGTTTGGGACTAAGGCTTGGATGTTGTTGTTGTGTAGAAGAATGCGATAATTTGGGCATTAGGATTATTTATTTTTATGACAAAAGTATAACCTAGATGGGGATGCACTGATATTTGAATCGAAAATTTATTGAATACAGGTTGATATAGGTAGGTTGTGGACAGGAACACCTCAACCCAAGGAATTAAAATGGGGCAAACCTGGGTTTTCAATTACTCTTCTCTTTGCCAATCCTTATTGCTACATTTCCACTACAAGTTTATTCCTCTTAAGGAATGTACTAACGATGCATTGGTTTTGGGGTGCACTTTGAAGAAATTCACTCACGTTTCCAAAATGAAAAATGAACTGAGGATGTTTTTTAATTGGACTGAAATTTTCTGTGTGTATCTTATAACTTATAACTGTTTGAGTCTGGTCTATTTAAGTCTAGTTTGTTTAATTAAATCTAGCCTGGTCTGTTTAAATCTGGTGTTGTCTGGTCTAGTCTGAAACTGTAATAAGTTTAAATAAAAACACCTTAAGGCCCTGTTTGCTACCCAGCCGCGTGGCATATCCCGCTTCTTGGCATATTTAAAGAGTAGGCGGCCGGTGACCTATTTATTTGGACGAAATGACTTATTTGGCATATTCAATGTGTCTTTTTGTATAGATATATTTTATTTTTGATACGAAGGATAAAAAAACTTTGATCAACATTCAAGGAAATGTTTAGGGTAGATGATGCACATAAACGACCTTCCCTGCCAAGATCTAAAAGATCTTATGTACCACCACAAATGTTGTCAAACTGATGTGGCAAAAAGTCAGGTGATTTATTTTCATCTTTAAAAGTCTTAGGGAGTATTTGCAACTGCTTCTGCTTAAAAAAAAAGCTTTTTGGAGATGTAATGAAAAAGTAATTAGTAGTAAAAGTTGATAGTGTTTGAGAAAAAAGTGATTTTGAAAAGTAAAAAGTTGATAGTGTTTGGTAAAATAAGTGCTTTTTGTGTAATAGAAAAGGGAAAAGCACTTTTCACACGCAAGCCGAAAAAAAGTAAAAATTGGAAGTGTTAGGTAAATAAGTGTTTTTTTAAGCCAAAAGTTGAGAAGTGCTTTTTTTAAGCTATTGCAAACACTCCCTTAATGGGCTGATGAGGAGTGACAGTGATCATTCAAAGATCATCTATGGTCCCACAAGTCTTTCTAAAGGTCCATATTCACCGTTTGACCCTTTAGGCCGAAAATAGATGAATTTCAAGCATGATTATTGGCCAATAGAACTATTTTATCCCCAAGTACCCTCTTAAGCTTGTTATGTGATATACGGAATTCTATTCTTTCTTGCTCAACTGTGTCCACGATTGAGTTCTTTCTCTTTGCATTGGGTTTATATTTTAGTCTAAGACTAAATGAATTTCCTTTGAAACAGCAACTGTCAGATTTTCCTGGGGCAGTGCTATTAGTCATCCTCTTTTTCAAACAAAATTTCAAAAGACCGTTTGAACTTGTTGGAGATCCTACTTACCTGCTATTATATTAAAGATATTGAGATGAAACTTTTCTAACTTCGTCATTTCTGTTTTTTTTGCATAGAAGAGTACCATAGAAGAATTAAAGATAGTATACATTATTTACTAGAATTATTAATTTTTTATGGTTACAGGTGGTTCATGTTTTACTTCTATGAAGAACACTGAGATTACAAATAAAAGAGGAAGAAACATTCTTGTTGATGCTAGTGACAACGAAGAAGAGTTAAATCCTAAAGTATCTAGCCAAACAAATGGTATGGGTTGTAGCACATAATTATGTGTAGTATTATTTTTATCATTTGACAGCTGAAACAAAACTTTGTCATATTGAAGAAGCAAGCTATTTTACTTCTAAGAAGGATATTGGGATTGAAAAAAACAGAGGAAGAAATATTCTCGATGATGTTTTGTACAACGAAGTAGATCGAAATCCTAAAGTTTTAGGAAAACCAAAATGCAAGCATTTGGTAATTTATCATTGTTTTATGTTTTACTACATTTACTTTTCTTATTTAATATTTACATTAAAAAAATCATTGTTGAAGGGGCGACTCTTTTAGTTCCATAAGAATACTCTAACTGGAACTTCGTCCCATTATCGTAGAATTCGGTCAGCTCCTTGTTCTTGAACTTTGTTCCATTATCAGTTCTGGTGATCTTCACTTTCTGCTATAGATAGTTCTGTATGGTCTTGATGAACGTCATGATGAGGTTTGCAGTTTCGTCCTTGGAGCGCAAAAACTTGGTCCATGTGTAGCGTGAGTAGTCATCCACTATAACCAAAGTATATTTGTGTCCATTGATGATATGCATGTGCATCGGACCACACAGATCCATATGTAGTAGCTCTAGGGGACGAGATGAAGGCCGATTGCCTTCATATTTCTCGAATTTTATAAATCTTTTATCAATGCGTTTTAATATGCACAGTTTTTTTGGCAACTCAAATAAAACATAGAATCAAACAGCGTAAAAATATTATCATGATTTTGCATTTTATTGTGTATGAGACTTAATGTAAAGACACTAAAATTGATACATAAATCATACATACATGATGAAGTGGTCTAACTATTTTTTTGAAATAGTAATTGATTTGATTGAGATTAAAAGTGATTAATCTAGTAATTAGAAGTGTTTGCATAACTGTACCTCTGCATCACGAACATACATTGTCGTCTTTGTACATGATCTCACATTCTCACCAACTTGAAACTTAAATTGTTTCTTGGAATTGTTTCCAATACTTTGCACCCTGCAAAAAAGAACCACTTGTTCTAGAAATATGGTTTCATACCTGATTAAGATCTTGAAGAATAAAAAAGATAATTAGTACAACGTATAACATTAAAACATGCTCAGAACACTTCAATTTTATACTAATTATCCTTTTGTTCTTCAAATTAAAATCTTAATCATGTATAAAATCATACGGAGTATGTGATATGAATGGAGATATAGCAGTCGTGTTAATTTTCTATATTTATGTAATATGTTAATTAATTTTTTGTTGTGAGTGCGGTTTGCCACAGACCTCCATAGCAACCATGGATATACATTAGAAAGAAAAGAGAAACTAACCAACTCAATATTCGTTCTTCATCAATGTGTACCTAAGGAAGTTTATCTAGAATTTTCTATTAATTGTACTCCACAGATAAAGTGTAATCGAAATTGCTTATATGGTCATTTGGTTCTTGTCCGGTCGTAACTTTTGGCAGGAGCAATTATGCTCTTGGTTTCCCTTTTTATATTATTAGTATAGATTTTGTCTCCTCTTTTTGTGATTTTTTACACTTGCATAATATCTTTGTGGGTCAGTTGACAACTCAATAGATTAGTAGCCTATTTATTTTGCAACTTGCCTGAAGCGAATATCACTCCCTCACTCAAACTTTTCTGTTTTCTATCCAACTATTATTCTCAAGGCTTTGTGGCCTTCTCACAAGACCAAACTTTCCCCATTTCAAAAGCTTCAACGAGTTCATCAAAGTAAGGCGTTCTTTGTTTTCCCCATCTTCTTTCAAGATTTATTCTTCAAGCTGGCTCAGTTTAATGATTTGAGTACACATTATAATAATTATACTAAAGAAGAAGCACAACATATTCTTAGAAGCATTGCTTCCATATAAACTTTAAACAACACACCACGCTCACGGGAAGAAAGAGATAAACCAAATGAGTTGATGTTATTTGCGAGACGTCGTTTCAAAATGAAAACGCACAACGCCACATTAACCGTTAATAGATTATACTCCGTAATTAATAGATTAAAGTAAATCTATCCCGTCCCAGTAAAATTGAGACGAGAGAAGGTGACACGATTATTAAAAAAGTGAGTTTGTGTGTTTGATGTTAAATTGATAAAGTAAGAATAAAGTAAGAATGATTTAGAGTCACACAATCTTTACCAAATTTGATATGAGGCAATCCCAAAACGTAAAATGAGACCATCTTAGGTCTTAGCGGGACAGTGGAATACGATGAATCACAAGATCAATATAATTTGGTTTTGTTTTAGTTAATTGTAACACTACACATTACAAATTTAATCGGGTGTGATTTAAATTGAACGAATACACTTCATTGCACCTAATCTGATTATGAACTGAAATAAATCCAAAATATCATAATCTATACTTAGTACTCTCTCCGTCCCGCTATGATTGTCCTATTTTACCATTTCGGTCCGTCTCACTAAGATTGTCTCATACCTTATTTGGTAAAGTTTGTATGATTCTAAATCATTCTTACTTTATTCTTACTTTATTAATTCAATATCAACCATATAAACTCACTTTTATTAATAATCGTATCACCTTCTTTTATCCCAAATTTAGGGGATGGAGGTAGTATTTATTTAAAGGGGAAAAATATGTGGACATTATCGCTATCAGCTTAAAATATCATAGTGGAAACAAACAAATTGCTCCAAGAGAAAACAAAGCCAAAAGAAGGAAAAGGATAAACAGTGTTGACTCCACTTCGAGTCCTCTCTCTCCCACTGCCGCAGCGGCCTCATCCCCTGCAGAATCCATAACCCAAAAAGCCATTTTTTCTGACCCAATGCTCCCCTCTTCCACCCAAACACCCTTCAAAAGTCATTAAAGCTCTTCCTTATTCCCCTCCCTGAGATGCTAATCCGTCACTTTATTCTCGTCTTCTTCTACTTCTTCCTCAATCTTCTTGATTTGTAAACCCGCGCTTGAATACACCCGCTCCGAAGTAAGTGGAAATACCCGGAATTTATGGATTCTCTGGCCCTGGATGATATAATCAAGAGGTTGTTGGATGTTAGGGGAAGGCCAGGGAAGCAAGTTCAGCTCTCCGAGTCTGAGATCAAGGAGCTGTGTATGCGTTCCAAGGAGATTCTACTGCAACAGCCCAATCTTCTCGAACTTGAGGCGCCCATCAAGATCTGCGGTAAACATTTCTCGACCTTCTCCTTCGTTTTTGAAAGTCTTCTGGTTTGAATTAGTTGTCGTTGTGGAATTGACTTTTATGACGCGTTATTAGTTGAAGTTGAATTTCTATTCAGTCATCAATTGAAGCTGAATTGAAGTTTAACTTTAGGGCTCGTGGGATTGGGGATTTTGGAGGGCATTAGCCTTCTTTTTTTTTTTTTATAACTAATTTATCACATTCTTAGTATATTTGTATCTAATTTTCATCTTCAGCTTCCTGCCGAATGAAATAATAAATTAATAAAATAAGTATCATCCCTCCTAAGCCCCCCAACCAAACAAGGGCTTAGGTGTTCTCTACATGATGCTTCAAATCAAAGGAGTATTTAATTTAATTTTAATTCATTAGAACTGTACTACGTAGTATAAATCATACGTGTACATGATTCTGGACTGAGTATTCCAATGAAGGTACCTAGTTGTGAAGATTTGTCACTCTGTCTGGTTAAAAAGTGAAGGACAGACAATGTCATGTAGTACCCTTAACTTTTCTGGTGGAAATAGTTATAACATGTCTTTTGTATTCTGTACTAATTTTCTTATACGGAGTACTAGTATGTTTTATATGTACTTTTTGGGGTTGCATGCATGATGAAAAAGCTTAGTTTGCTGCAAATTCCTTGTAAGGTGCTATTGTGGGTGCCATAGTTGTTGGTTTTTTGTTTTTTTTTATTGTCCCCTCATGAGGCACTACTCATGAAATCCCCCCCTACATCCCCAATTATAATGCTCTATTATTTTTATCATGATTTTTAGTGAACAGATCAAGATTTATGTATTTACAATGTATCCTTTAAGGGGGCCTACACATTCAAATCATTTTAAAAGTTAAAAAGATAGTAAGAGTGCATTAAAGAAATTTAAAAATTAGCTGTGTCAAAAAGAATAAAATGGACATTATTCTGGGATGGATTAAAACAGAAACAGAACAAAGAAAATGTTACAACAGGGGTACTTGTTTTTTCCCAACAAATTTTTTTAACCCCAAAGGGAAGTTGCAGAAGCTTCCAGATTTTAGTTTATTATGTTAGTATCAATAGTTAGCACTCTTCATGATCCAACTCTAATTTGAAATTTTGTTTCCCTGTTTTGAAGGGATTGCTCCCTTAAGCTCATCTTTTATGATTAATGATTCCTTGACACTTTTCATTTTTCAGAGATATTAGACTTAGTTTATTTTTTTTGTATTGCAGGCGATATTCATGGCCAGTATTCTGATCTACTAAGGCTCTTTGAATACGGCGGCTTACCTCCAAAATCTAACTACTTGTTCTTGGGTGATTATGTGGACCGTGGGAAACAAAGTCTAGAAACGATATGCCTCTTGCTTGCTTACAAGATAAAGTATCCTGAAAACTTTTTCCTTCTGAGGGGTAACCATGAGTGTGCTTCTGTTAACCGTATATACGGATTTTATGATGAGTGCAAAAGGAGGTTCAATGTACGATTGTGGAAAATATTCACTGATTGTTTTAACTGCCTGCCCGTGGCTGCACTGGTTGATGAGAAGATATTGTGCATGCACGGTGGGCTTTCTCCGGATCTGCATGATTTGGATCAGATAAGGAACCTACAAAGACCTACGGATGTCCCTGAAACCGGTTTGCTTTGTGATCTGCTTTGGTCTGATCCGAGTAAGGATGTGAAAGGGTGGGGTATGAATGATAGGGGGGTCTCCTACACTTTTGGTCCCGATAGGGTTACTGAGTTTCTTGAGAAACAAGATCTTGATCTCATTTGCCGTGCTCATCAGGTCTTATTCATATATTGCCTTTTTTGTGAAGATTATTTAGGGCTTGTTTGACTCTGGGGTTGGGGGCGTCTTAAATTAGAAAACAACAAGTCCTTTTAAACCCCAAAAAAGAGTCACACTGCAACACCCCCCCCCCCCCCCAAAAAAAAAGAGTCCAGTTTGATTGAAGTAAGGATGATGTTTTATTTAATTTTCCTAAAAGTTTAGTTATACGAAGTATATGATTTATATAGTCAATCAAACAAGCTTAATTTATTCAATAAAAAATAGAAGCATGACTCGTAGTTTATTGCATTTCACCTTACAAAAATTTAAAAGTTGTGCATTGGTCAAACTTGACACTTTTTGGGGATAAAGATAGTACTCCCCCTGTCCCTAAAAGAAGTTCCATTTCGCTTATCACTCTTAAACTCTTACTTTTTATATCAAAATTTTATAAAAGTTGAATTATTTTTTGCAGGCTTTGTAGCGGGTTTAATGTAGTTTCTGAATATGTAAATTTTATTTACTAAAAATAATCCGAGTTTTCACAGGGATCATTTAACTTTATCGTCGGTCAACCTTCGTAATCCGCAATTGGAACAACATTTAGGGACGGAGGGAGTATATAAATATTTAGATTATGTAAATTTATAATTTTTTATTTTCACTTTCTTTTCAACCATCTAAATGTAAGAATAATAATGAAATATATATATATATATATATATATATATATATATATATATATATATATATATATATATCATACGTTCATACCCCGAATTGCCCATCTTATGGTATTTGTCCTTCAACTAATGCAGGTTGTTGAAGATGGATATGAGTTTTTTGCTGATAGACAACTTGTAACAATATTTTCAGCTCCTAATTATTGTGGGGAGTTTGACAATGCGGGTGCCATGATGAGCGTTGATGAGACTTTGATGTGCTCTTTTCAGATATTAAAGCCTGCTGAAAAGAAGCCAAAGTTTGGATTTGGTAGCACAACGACGACTAAGTCAGGTACCCCTACAATGAAAGCAAAGGTAGTCGTTTTGTTTTTCCTTTTTTTTTGCAACAAAAGTGTAGGTTTTTAATGAAAGGTTACATATTTTTAATATTCTACCTCCATCCCAAAAAAGAGTCTTGCTTCACCAAGGTAAAATATCAAATTTTAGCAAGTACAACTGTACAACACAACAACTATTGAAAATTATCAATTCTGGGTATGTTTTTTGTTGGTTTGACTATGTCTAACACGTTTACCTTGTTTGGGACACTGGTTAATAAATGTAATATTATAACAAATAGATTCTTTTGTTTGAACACGATTCCCTTTTGGGACAAAGATAAGTTTTGAAAGAGGACTTTTTTGTGATGCAGAGTAATACACGTATAACTTTTTCGAGCTAAACAACTAAATTTTTTGTTTGTGATACAATTTGTTTGACACTATGTCAGTGTTGTATTGTTGGCCTGTTGCTAGATGTGCTTTGTTCTGTAGTTCTTTTCTGTAAGAAAGAAGACATTACACAAACTCATGAGAGGAGCATATATTACAGCAGTAATGTTTTGTATATAAAGGCGAGCATATAAAGTCATGTGTTTTTTAACAACTTATCTATTACATTTGACTATGATTCTAGTCAACGGTGTATTTATTTTCATGACATTAGCACAACTAGGGGTCCATTTTATGGCATGTAACTGATGCAGTAATTTTGTAACGAGGGACCTAATTGTTTGAGTTAGTTATCTGTCAAAAATCAATCCCATTATATATTACTCTGTAGATTTATGACTACAATATGAAGTTTGAGTTGCCTAGGTAGATTAAAGCAAAACCTCTCCTTGGCTCAAATTTTTTATGATTGTCGTGTGAATAGTGTAGGTCTGTATTATTGTCTCTGTAGGATTTTTGTTAAACAATCCAACTCAGACAAAACCCCCGCATCATATTGAGAGCCTGTTTGGTAAGGATAATTTTTGGCTGAAATAGCTGCGAAGGAGTTGAATTGGCTGAAGCTTTTGAAACTCGGGTGGAATCAGACCAATCACCTAAAAGTATATAACTATATACAGAGTATTTCCTTACAATGTAATGAATTAATACCTGAAATATTAAAGCTACAACTCCTACAAGTGTGTTCTCTTCCTTTTCATTCCTTTGAACAAAAACACTTTTTTCTACCATCAGCCTATTTGACCATCTGATTAAATAAGTTAGTATTGAGTAGAAAGTCTTGCTGACAATCAGAAACACTTTTTGAGCAAACAGACACTGCTTGTGCTTCCCAAGGGATAATATCGTCACTTTATCATATACTCCGTATTTTGCTTTGGCTCCAATCTTACTGTTTTCTTTTCATCTTCTGTGTTTTTATTTTGACAGAATTATCTTATTGTTTGCAGTCATTTCTTGGTAGAGGATGAAGGAAACGTGGGCAGAAGGATTCTGGGGAGGTGAAGCCCTACCCCCAGGGACAGATACAGTAATCTCTTCCCAGAAGTGATGTAATGATTTGTGTTGTGTTCTTGCGTCTGTAAAAATATTAGCCATAAGCCAGACCAGACAAATGGTTTCACTGACCCCTTTTAAAAGCACTGAAATCGTAAAACCTATTCATGATTTAATCTTGCTATGCAAAAAGTTTGTAGCTATAACTCCTACTACATAAGCCGTTGTGTTAGTTTATTATTATTCTCTAATAGGTGGCGACAATAATCCAATATGGAGTAATCTAAGACTGATTTATACTCCTTTTGCAGCTGTGTTTGTTATTTCTTTTTTCATTTTGCCTTCCCCGTGGAGTTGCGAAACCAGTAGGGCCAGTTTATTTTTTGCACCAAAAACAGGCCAGTTATTTGGTCTTGGATCGGAATAAATACCAAAAATCAGTCCAAAACTCCAGACCTGTACTTGTTCTTCCCAAGTAGGACTGGTTTCGTTTTGGTTCTGATCAAAGTTACCTTCTTCGTGCATCATGTTTGGACATGTTTGGGAGTTTATCTGACTAATTGATACTACGTATTTTACAAATTTAACTTAACATTGTTTTGTTGGACATGTTTGTGACTTGTGAGTTTATCTGACTAGTTGATATTTTACAAATTTAACTTGACATTGTTTTGTTTTCAGGAATGAGAAATCCACTTTTGTTTCAAATTCTTAAAAAACAAAAAATATGATTTATAAATTGTAGGGGTTGGTGTTGGACCGTGGATAAATGTTGGCTTTGGTTCGATTGTAAATTGACCAGGTTCCCCTTAACTCTTTAATGGAGACATTGCAATGTCTGTACACGTTTTTTTACACTTTTGTGTATACTTTTCTATTTTGTATGTTTGCGCAAAAATTGTCTGCGTGCACAAATAAGTGTGTGAAATGTGTACAGAAAAGTACACCAAGCATCACTCTTGCAATTGCAATTGGTAATATGGGTCTAGTTTAGGTAGAACGGATTGTTTAGGATAATTATGCGCGTTAGCCTAACCTTTGAAAACCCGATGCCATAATCAGAACCAGCTTGTCCGGTCTTATTTTTTCAGGAATTAGAAATATTCAAAATTATTTTGTCACGAGATTATTTATTGTGAAGCATCTATTTTTCGTTTAAAACAAATTTACATGCATCTGATAATTGTGTCCAAAAACATTTTTCATATAAAATGAAAACAAGAAACACAGTGTCTCTTTGCTAGATTTTACCACCAAACTTTTGTTTTCATTCTCCATTTGTTATTAATTGAGAATGTGCATGGTAAAAATGGCCTTAAATCTGAAATATTGTTCTCCACTTCTCTATTTGGGAAAATATAAAATATGCCTTCTAGTTTACTACTCCGTATAAAATTGAGATACTAGTTAATTATTTTCTAAAATTGAGAACTTTGTTTAATAAATTAAACATATTATCCAGCATTATATTTAGAAAATAGAAAAGTAAAAGAAAAAAAATAGCAAATGAATACGAAGCTTTTCTAACTAGGACCCATTATTTTGTACAATTTCAAATGCTGTCTCGTTACGCTTATATTCCGTAATAAAAATTGAGTTCGTGAAACAGTTTGTCAAATGTATTTTTCTTTAAACCTTATATTTATAGAAACGTGAAAAGTAAAAAATGGCTAGCTAGGATTAATTCTCTTTAGCTAGATTAATCTAAGTTAAATTAAGTGAGGTTACAGCGGTAATAGTACAAAAATTATCCTAAAATTATCAAAATAGAAGAGCTACATATTTTCGGTTATGTAGAAGTAAATAATGCTTGACAGTAAATATCGGGGTTGCTCTATTTGTTCTTATGTAGAGAAAACAATTACTCATGCTTTGAAGTATCACTTTTTTACCCTCTTATTTTGGAAAGTTCTAAGCTAAATCCCATCCAAAATTTACTAATGACAAACTAGGTCAAATAAAATTTATCAGACCCACCAAACCACTAACAGTCATTCAAAGAGAACCGGTCCTAATATACAAAAAAGAATGTATATTTAATGGATAGATAGATGAAAGGGAACTGACCTATATAGGGACTTTTTTTTTATAGGGACTTCCTTTTGTTTTATGTTACAATTTGTTTGATTTGTCACTCCACCAAATTTGTACTAGTATTATTCTAGCTTTATCCTTTTGATGTTGAGTAAATTTAGGGAGATTAAAAATGAGTCATTGTCAGCTATTAGGACATATAATTGAAGACTAGTCAGAATAATGCTTACTTGTTAGCTACACGATGAAAGGGGAGTGGTTATTAGGACATGGAATTGAGGACTAATCTGTTATTCACCTTAATTATTAGCTAATTTATAAGTTTCATGGTGTCATATTCTAGTAAAAAATAATTACACGCTTATGATTAATCTGTTATTCGCCTTTTTACCTTTTGATTCGACTATTCCCCGATTTTCTTATCTCGTTTACCTACATACGGAGTATATTTTTCTTATTCTCCATGAAAAACATACTTGAAGCTTTTTTAAGAATGGAACGAGTGAAATAAAAGAAAATAGTTAACGGACATAATTCATAAAGAGTTTAATTAAGGAATATCACATGATTCACATCAACCATCAAAAAAATGGAATATCACATCATTCAGCTTAGAACATCTCAAACACTAAATTACCCTCGACTAGCCACATAAGCAGTTAGCAATACCATCTTCCTCTTCATTTATTAATTAGAGTGTAATATTTAGTAATTTTCTTTGCTCAAACTAATAGCTCATTTTGACTAATTAGTTTTTCAAGCAAAATGAAAAGTAATGCTTCAATGGTAAGCTATTGACTTTAAAATTGCAAGTAAATCCTCAAGTTCAATCATTGGAGATGCTCTTAGCTCAATTTTTTATATCCTAAACTAATCATCAATTTGGGTTGAAGAATATCATCATCTTCATTTTGTTCAATGTTTGAAACACAAAATTATACAGAGTAGTTTTACTAAATACTAAAACCATAAGATCCTGTTTTATCCAAATGAAGTCCTTAAATTATTTTAATTTCATAATAATAATGACCAAATTTTATTTTGAATATTTCAATTGTAATGCATGTCTTACTAAAATCACATACGTAGTATAATACTCATCGAGTAACTTAGTTTCTTGAACACACCTAGTCACCAAGCACGAAGATAGTTTTTAAGGTCCATAATCAAGTAGCGAGGAATCGCGAGAAGTCGAGTGCTAAATTAGAATTAAGGAATGAAGGAATCTTGGGATAAAGTCGTTACTGACCCAGTTTTATTGACAAATTTTCCAACACTAAAAACTAAAGTTCTTGTAGTGATATATTGGCGTGACTGCGTGAGTGGCGGTATTTAATGGATCTTGGGTATAGTAATAAACTCTTGTGCTATGAACCTAATTAAGTTAAGGATTTTTTACTTAGATTAAAATTTGTTAGTCTCATCTGGTTTGATCTACCTGGTCTGGTAAATGTTTTATCTATATGTATTTTAAAATTATGGAAGTCTGGTCTAGTTTGCTTATGTCTGGTATAGTCTGATTTGATATGTTTAAGTTCGGTGTGATCTGGGATTGAAAACAGTCAAAATAAAAGTATCCTTAAATGGAGTAATTCACTATAAAAATACTGGATTGGCAGAGATTTTTTTCAAAAATTCGCGAAAATTCATGGAGGAAATGATAGAATACGCAAAAAGCTAAGCATTTTGACACGAATTATTTAACATAAAATCATTGATAAATCAATGCCAAATTCGTGGTAACCATTCATTATTAGTGAATTGATAAAATGAAACAACTTTTGAAGCTAGGTCGATCGAGTAAAATTAAATAACATACTTTCATGCCCTAGATTTTTTCTATCATATATGACATTCAAACGATAAGCAGAACTGTTTAGAGAAGCTACCGTCACGTGTGATATTTGGTTCAAAATTTGAATAATACCACAACTTTGAAACATTTATGTATAGTTAAGATGTTGTTTTGATTATGTATAGTTAAGATATTGTTTTGATTCATTTAAGAGTTAATGTAACACGAATAGCTAGATACCATTCATCCATTTCATTCATGAGCACCAAGTAAAAATGGGCATCTTTTAAAAAGGGATTCATATTTGGATGCAAATAAATAAAATATAAAGGGCGCAGCAATAATTAACAAGAAGTAGAAAACTGCATTGAAATCCCATCATCAGTACATTAAAATCCAAGGGGGGTGACCAGATCAATGCAGCATCATCACTGCCCACTCTGCCACCACTCTTCCTTGCTCCAGCCACGTTTCTTGATGGAGCTTTTAGCAAGCCAAACAAGAGCACTCATAAATCAGCTCTGTTCTCTCTCGCACCGCAAGCCCGCCATTGGCCACGTACTACTCAGGTAATTAATACTACTACTATCTAGCTAGCTATATATACAATGCTTGTTATTTATATATTTATATAATGTGGCACGTACTTATAAGCTAATTTGTTAGAACTGTCACTCCTTGCTTTCTCCGTTACTTGTCATCCATGGATGCCCTGCATGCCACCGCCACATCAATAGTTAATATAATGCTCAACCAAACAGGTTAATATATTCTAGTATTAGATTAGTAGTCATAGTTAATCTAAAAACTAATATCCCAGATAAACCAATTCAATAGTTTGAGTAGTTTTGAACTTTTATTGTATCTTTATACTCCCTAGCATGTCATTTTATGAAACTGTAATGTTAAATTTCTTAATTGATTTTTTATCTATAATCTCTAATTTAGATTATTACTTTCTAAATTTAATTAAACATTCACAGTTTATTTTTGACAAATATTGATCACCTATGGATATTTCTATAGAAGTAGAGTAGCAACATGTTATGCAGACTGATACCATTACTTTGTCATTCTGATTAGGAGTGAGCCGACCCAGACTCTCAAGTGTAAAGTTTGAAAGTTTTATTATTAAATGTTAAATGAAAGTCTGATGAAAGATACGTAGTACGAAGTACCAAGTACGATAGTATAAAGATTCCTTGTCTTTGAACCGATATCTATGTAGTTTAATGAAAGTTTAGCGCAAAATCTCTTGACTTGTTAAAGGCGGAAAAAAGTACTTGCCCTGGCTCGGTTGCTCCGGGTCCGAAAAGAAATTATACTAGACTTAAATATTAGAGAGGTGGACTAAACGAGGAAAATGAAAAAATATACACTAAAAAATTGAAAATTTTCTAAGTTACTCCTACCATAACCCGTGCACAGATACTACGCGTAGAGTAATGGTGTGAATGACTGAATGGGGGTGCAAACTGCAA